CCGAACATGCTCGACATTGACATCATGATGGCAGTGTCGCAGGTGGAGCATGAGGAGGGGTTGGCCAAATCCGAAGAAGAGTGGCGGAGTGGGCTTGCCAGAAGCCGTTAAGGGGGACAGAAGTGGGACACTTGATGCGTGTGGTGTTGAAGAGGCCCCAGGCCCCAACAGACAGCATCCATGGCACCTCCATTCCAGTGAGTTCTGCCCAAGTACTCAGCAGTTATTACGTGAGTTCTTCTGTTTCGGGTGCATCACATGGCCATCACCTCGGCATTGTGCGCAAGATTGGGAAGCGTTTTTGTTGTGGAGTCACGTTGCAGAATGTCGGGTTCTTGTTCAGCTTTTTTTCCGCAGGACCTGACCGTTTTCTCAAAGCTATCCATCCAGGGCATCATTCATTGCCTGTGGAGCAACCTTATTGAGCGACTTGAACAAGTTAGTTGTGGGCACTGGGATGCTTGCTTAGGCTTCGACATGGGCTCACAAATGCAGGCGCGTGCACGCGCAAGACGACGTTTCCGAGCCTAACAGGGATGTCAGAAGCACACTGTGCATGCAGGGCTGCGTGGCATCCCGGTATGTAGGCATCTCCTCGCCTACATGCTTGAGCCAAGTTGGGAACAGCACATGGAGGTTTCCCAAACTCTGGGGTACGAACCGGTCGTTCTTTTGCAACGGATTATCGTTTTGGGTTCCATATGGCACAACGAACATTTGAGACTTACCCAAATTCATCCCTGCAGACTCCTGCACAGATGTTGCCAAACAGTTGAGTTGTTGTTTCTTCCCGCTGCGTCACAGCAAGACACCCGCCAGCCCCAAACAAACCCCCCAAAGGCCCCTTAACAAACCCTCAGGCTCCCCCCCCCCCCCCAAACTCGGTAACTCAACAAAGGGAAAGCCCTGAGCCCTAAATCACCCCGGAAAGGGTCGTCCCCACATGCCCTAAACCCTAAACCCTAAACCCCAAAACCCTATGAAGAGACTGAGGCCCGGCCCCAATCTACAGTAAGGGCGACGCCTAACGCAACGCGACTCCCTTGAATTGCTAATTCTGGGACCACACCCCTGAAGCCCCTACCCCTGAAGCCCTCTGGGACCCCGAGAAACCCTCCTGCAACCTTGGCTGTTCATCTTAATCTCTTGCGGAAAAAAACACTTGAGTTTAGGCTTAAGCCGGTGGTTTTGCCGCCTGAAACGGCGTGGGGTGGGATGAAAATGTCAGCTGGCCCGGGCCAGTGCCCCGAAGCTCGAAACAGGCTGCATCTTAACCTTCACAGCTTCTGCGCCATACTACAGCCCCTAAACCCTAAACCCTAACCCCTAAACCCTAACCCCTAACCCCTAACCCCTAACCCCTAACCCCTAAACCCTAAACCCTAAACCCTAAACCCTAAACCCTAAACCCTAAACCCTAAACCCTAAACCCTAAACCCTAAACCCTAAACCCTAAACCCTAAGGTCGGTCTGGCTTGCCAGCCTCGTTTTGCAGATCTTGGAGCTCGTGGCCTTCGTTTCTTGGGGCCTCTCCGGCCAGACGCACCTAAGACTGATGGTTTGGGTTTTGGATTTTGGGTTTTGGGTTTAGGGTTTAGGGTTTAGGGTTTTGGGTCTATATAGGGACGTTTAGGTTTAGGGCTAGGGTTTAGGGTTTAGGGTTTAGGGTTTAGGGTTTAGGGTTTAGGGTTTAGGGTTTAGGGTTTAGGGTTTAGGGTTTAGGGTTTAGGGTTTAGGGTTTAGGGTTTAGGGTTTAGGGTTTAGGGTTTAGGGTTTAGGGTTTAGGGTTTAGGGTTTAGGGTTTAGGGTTTAGGGTTTAGGGTTTAGGGTTTAGGGTTTAGGGTTTAGGGTTTAGGGTTTAGGGCTGCTGAGCTGGTATTTTTGCATTCCTTCCATGCGCCGTTAACACACGCATACATGTACAAAGTTCACAATATGTCTAAGCCTTGATTATTTTACAGCAGTGGTGCTGCGTGTACTTTGCAAGGCTCGTCGGTCGAGCTATTGCTGCTTGTGCCAAGTCGTCCCACTTGCCAGGGCCTATGGGGTTTAGGGGATAGGGCTTAGGTTTGGGCTTTGGGTTGAGGGGGAAGACTTTCCGTCATGAAGCAGGATTCAATGGGGCCAATAGGGTTCAGTGTTAGGGCCGCACAATCCTTCCGTGTGTTTAGGTGGGTTTAGGCCCAAAATCGTCCAAGCACCACCTCAACCCTACAGGTATCAGCACAATCAGGGAACCTTCCTCACCACTGTGTGACCTGGTCGCACTCGGGACATTGGCATAGCAGTTTCCAAGAGTGCAAGATACTTTCGCCCTTGGACGTAAGGCGTATGTAGGTATGCCCGGCGAAGAAGAAGCCTTCCTGTAGAGTTGCCCGAATTCACTTGCACCCCCGGGGCCCCCCCTCTCCCTTCAACAGGGGGTTACATAATGTTTAGGGTTTGGGGCTCAGGGTAGAAGGACATCCTCCATCCTACAAATTTGAGGATATATAGGCAACTTCTCTGACGTAGACATTGTCCCTTAAGGGATGAGACCGGGCCAGAACATACGTTAGGGGTCCTCAGGGTCGAATCTTCAATCGCTTGCACGTCTGGAACATCCTTGTTAAGCAGGGCTCCTAGGGAATACATGGGAACTGAGCTGATGGGTGTCGATTACGGTTTCTCATGCACAAAGTGCCTACTAAACAATAGCCACATCTTCTAAACACTTACGGGGGAGGCCCGCCCTAAACTTCTGGTGTCCTTCAGACCTCAAGTATAGTTACCCAGACCCCACAAAACCCCTTAAATACGGAATTTTCCTTAAACTATATAGGGATCCTTAGTATGATCTAAGGCATATTCCCTAAATAAGGAGTATTGGGCTGTTTGGGTAGTTCGTCTACAGCCAAGTCGACCTAGCAGGTTGTGGATAATCATGTCTGGCGGCGGAATGCGCGAACTGATCCAGATCCTTTGGTGCACTTATATAAGCAGGGTTGAGGGTGTACCGTTTAGAGTTCAGGGTGTTTGTGGTGAGTTCATATAGGTTGTTATATATCTATATATTTATATATTTATTTATACATACATAAACATATATATATATATATCCCTAACGCTCTTGGGGGGTCTGGGCCCTCCACTTGAGTGACTGCTCCAGAGCCCAGGGGCCATGAGGGACCATGATTTAAGGAAGATTGGGCGGGCCCTCGCAGTGAGGGACCAGTAGGTGGAGGATTGTTGGGGTGTGCGTGGATCTCACAGATCTTACATGCAGCTGACGCAGTTTTCGCGAAACATGCGCTGAAGCTATAGACGCGAAATCGACCCTTGCTGAACAATGCGCAACGTGGGTTGCAGACTATCGTTTGCTCTCGCGACAACAAATCTCCTATCGGTCCTATCGTGTGTGCTCCTCCTATAGTGGCCAGCCATTGTTGTCGACAGGTGCAGACTCACCGTCGCGTGCATGCATAGGTGCTTCTGGGGCCTGGCGTTTCTGTCTCAACGGCGTCATAATCCCCATCATCAGAGATGGTAGTAGTAGAGCCTGAACCTTAAACATACAATCAAATCCCTCGAGACGCTACACGCTCCTTGCGTGCATGGTGAAGGCTCAAGGCTAAGGTGTCGAAAAAATGAACATGAACCCTATATTGGCCAAAACCCACACTGCGCAGGCCTCCAGGGTGAGTCTTCGAGGTTTACAGGTGTGGGGTTACAACTCCAAACCCGAGAAGCGCCCCTCGAGGCCCAAGAGCCTCACACCGTCCTTCCACAAGCCTAGGGTATTTATGAAAGAGTTTAGGGTTTTGGCTTATTCTATAGCCATGGTTGTGGGTACTATAGGGGGGGCTCCGCGGTCCAGGGAAACCGAAGGCCACGAGGGCAGAGATTTTGGGTACGGGTTTCATTTAGGGTGTCTTGTTGGTTCGGGTTAGGGTTTCCTTAAGGGTGCAAGGGGGCGCGAGTTATGGTTGCACCGTCAAGGCTGCAAGCTGTTTTCTTTGAATGTTTAGGGTTTTGGGTTTCGGCCTTTAAGGGGTTTCAGGCTCTTGGGTGCTGAAGTATTTGGAATTGCGTGGGATGGGTTTCCAGGGGTTGTAAACCATACACGCACTAAACCCGACACTCTAGGGGGTTATATGTTACAAGCACAGCCTGCCCAATGGGGAGTGGTTGCATGTAGGCCCAAGCCCTGAAGATCTTAATGCCTGCATCCGGGAGAGCTGCAAGACCTGATTTCCCTTTCTACACGATCTATAGTTGCCCTCAAACTCATTAAATCAGCCCTGAGCCCTATAGACCCAACCTCATGAACATCCAAACTCTAGACCCCTGCAACCCCAAGAGCCTCGAGGTCTTCCCTTTTCCCTATATATCAAGATTCGCCCGGAGCCCTATAGTATATAGAGACCCAACCGGAACATCCAAACTCTAGACCCTGTAACCCCAAGAGCGTCGAGGTAGGGCGGAATACAAACAGTCCTGATCATGAACACCCTGGTCCCTGGTCATCGGACGCATTGGTTTAGGGTTTAGGGTATAGGCTAGGGAGACAGACCTATAACATGCATAAATAGGCGTGCAAAGCTAGGGCTCTCAAACCCTATATGCATAAGCCTGAAGGCCAATGTCGATCTTTAGGGTTTAGGGTTATGTAATAGTAAGGGTCGAGGGCTTGCACGAACTTCGTTCCTTTTCGGCGCCCTGGCGGTGGATGCGCTCCATGCCAGCTGCATGAGCCACGGCTGCACAAGGTTTAGGGCTTAAGGTTCTTTTGTCCACTTTTGGGCTTTCTGAAAATTTGCGATGGCTTTGGGGATATGTTGCTGGTTCCATTGTTTGGTCTAAGGGTCTACGCAGGCCTTATCGGGCTATATAAGGGGTGTGGCGCAGTGGACCCTACCATTAGTCTGCAGAGCAGCTCACGGGCTAGTGTACTGCAGGTTGTGGTTGCACAAATTGTAAGATGCACAAACAAATTTCATGGGCTGCGCCCATGCGAGCAGCTAATTAGCAACCTCGCGAAGCCTGATGTTGAGCACGCACAAGTAGCGCTGAATGCCACGAAGTGTGACTGTGGCTCGGTGGGCAGTCCTTAAACTCCAACGAAAATTTGCACATCACCGTTGTTTTTGCCATGCAAAAGCAAAGAAACCATTACAAACAAATTTCAGCAAGCCACCGTGTCATTTTGCCAACCAAGCCCACAAAGCTCTCCGCTGCCAAAAGGCTGCTTTGGTTCGGATTCAGTCGCTCCTTCTTCACCGTCTTCAACATCTTTTGACAATGGTGGTGTTTAGGAAGAAGCAACCAAAGATTCTTCCCGCGACCTCGGCGAATCCCAGCGCTGTGAGCCCGGAGGTAAGCGTAAGCTTGAAGATGCAACATTCCATCGGCATGTATAGCATCAGCTTGCTGCTGCGTCAACAACAACGGATAGTTGCCCATGCGTTGCAACATGGAACAATAAGAAAAGCAGCAGCAGGAAACAACCTGATCCAAATGTTCAGCATCTGGCCGGCCAGCCCACTCATGAGCCTCATGCGCCAACCAAAAGCTCACCACTTTCCCTGCTATTGCTTTGCTGGAGAGGCATGGAAACATAGAGCGCAGTTTCCGATGTAACCTAGCTGCTGTGAACCTTGGGTGGACTGTGCGAAGCTTGTTTTCTCGACACCATGATCGAAAGCGCTTGTACGCCACTCTCAGCTTCTCCTGCATGCATTCCTCGTAAACGCCGTGACTGAAGTCGCCAAAGCAGCCGGCCTCCACGAGGTAGCACAGGGCACTTCCGTTATGGCACTTTCCAGTGCCCAAAAGCTGCGAATGCATCACGTCTGGCAGAAATCTCTCGAGCCTGACAGGGAACAACAATGACATTCAAACATTTACGGATGCAGGTCATGCAGAACTGTGCACGCACGTCCATCTTTGTATAGCCCAACGGTATGCCTCACTCCGAACTGCATTGGAATGGGCAAATCTGCCTGTGGCAGCTGCTGGACGTACTCTTCGTGACTGATTGCTGTCTGAAGATGGTTTGCCCCATCACGAAAATCAGCAATAGTGTCCCGAACGTCGGCAGCTACCTTGCATGCCCGGCACAACGAACATGGAGTGTTGGCCCGGAAGTTGTGAATCCCATACTGATCATTCTGCCACTTCATGTCTCCCAAGACTGCCGACAAGCAAAAGGAGTATCCCTCTTTCTGCCAGGGGTGTCCTGCTGTTTCATCACACAGCAAGCGAAGCCGATCGAAAACCTTCCGCAAGATATCGTTGTAAGTGTGCTGGCAGGACATGTAGACTGAGTACAATGTCAGCAGCATATACCGGAGCATCGGGGAATTTCCAAATGCGAAATCTGAACAAAAGGCGATGATGCTGATGGCTCCGGCCTCCGTGTTGCGGTACGTGTTCACGTCGTCACCGTAAAGGCTTAAAGGAATGAGACGATCCCACTTTGCGGGATTCTTGCAATTTTCGGTCACCTGGAACCACGCGCAACGCTCTGATGCGTTCTTCCAGTACGCCTTCACATCATTCTCCGTCATGGAACCAAAGCAGACTTTTCTAAAGACTTCACGACCTCTGTGCCAGAGGCATGACATCAGCGAAACAGGGTCCAAAACTGAAAGGTTGCAATCCACAATCGCGTTTTCGCTGGGATCCCACATTTGCACAGGTACCTCCAAGATGTTGGCGCCAACATTTTTGGCCCAGGCCCGAATGGCAAACTGCAAATCTCTTTCAGCATTCTGCAAGTGTCGACCATGGGTGGCTATACCACTCATTTTCTCCACCAAATCATCAGGTTGCCTGACATCCCTCGCTCCCCTGTGTTTTGCATAGGCCAAGGAAGAGGATGCCAATTCTTGCACCTTATTTCGCGGATCGAACACTAAAAGCTACAATTTCTCCATATATGCCACAATGGATTTGAACAGGGAAACTCATGCTATATTTCTGCGGGGAGCGTTGGTGGCGCTGCTTTTGCCGGACGCATAGTTTTCCAGTAGCAGCTCAGCCAAGGGCCGGGCTTCCTATCGAACGAAGCACAGGTGCACACAAACAAACTTTACTAACCTATAGATACCCACCCGTAGGGTTCAGGGTATGATTGATAACCCTACTTGTGGTCTTCTAGGGTTGAGTCCTTCTGCGTGGCTCGCTGCGCAAGAATCTGAGGATTGACGAAAGGAGTGGCTGCACAACGGCGCTTCGCTGGAGGCTCCTGGAGGGCTTTGGCGTGACAGGCTTCAGGATCCATTGCATTGCAGGGGTTCTTTAATTCCATGGATGATATACTTTATAGGTTTAGGGTATAGGGTTCTTAGGGGTTTGGGATTCGGGGTGCTCGGGCCTCATCTTTCCCCAAAGGCTTCGGGACGCATTGCATTGAGGGGTTCTTTCGATGGATGATATACTTTAGGTTTAGGGTTCTGAAGGTTTAGGGTTTCGGGTCTAGGGTTTAGGGTTTAAGCACCGGTACTCGGGCCTTATCTTTCACGATAGGCTTCAGGATCCAGTGCATTGAAGGGGTTCACTCGACGGATGATATACTTTATAGGTTTAGGGTATAAGTAGAAGGTTCTTAGGTTTAGGGTATAGGGTTTGGGGGTTGTAAGCACTGGTATTCGGGCCTCATGTTTCCCGAGAGGCTTCAGGATCCATTGCATTGAGAGGTTCGATGGATGATATACCTTATAGGTTTAGGGTATAGGGTTTAGGGTTTATAGGGTATAGTGTTTAGGGTTAAGCACTGTGGTATTCGGGCCTCATCTTCCCCCCTAAACCCTAAACCCTAAACCCTAAACCCTAAACCCTAAACCCTAAACCCTAAACCCTAAACCCTAAACCCTAAACCCTAACCTAAACCCTAAACCCTAAACCCTAAACCCTAAACCCTAAACCCTAAACCCTAAACCCTAAACCCTAAACCCTAAACCCTAAACCCTAAACCCTAAACCCTAAACCCTAAACCCTAAACCCTAAACCCAAACCCTAAACCCTAAACCCTAAGGGGTTCATTCCATGGACGGTACACTTTAGGGTTCAGGGTTTGGGGTATAAGTTTCTTAATAAGGATTCGGGTTTAGGGTTCAGGGTTTAAGGTTTAGGGTTTTGGGTTTAAGCACTGGCACTGGTACTCGGGCCTCATCTTTCACGAAAGCTCGATTCCTCGCCATTCCTGCACGCGGGTCGTGCACTGGGGTGGGGCTAGGGCCCTCGCATAGGGTATTCATGCATGCGTGTGCTCACGATCGATTTCATTTCTCGCGATGCGGTGGCTGAAATCTCCCGTGGTCTAGCCTAGAGAGCCCAAGTTTAAAGAAAAACTCGAGCGCGAATTGCAGCCTTATGATACTTCGATCGCTGCATGCCCCGTGGCATGGGTTCGCGTGATCACACAGCAAGCATGGCCTGGCTCTACGCGCATATAGAATGGTATCACACGCTACGCCCATAGGCCCTATAGCATCACACGCTACACCCATGCAACCCCATAGGCTTCAAAGGCCCTGAAGGGAGCAGTACGCTTGCGCGCATCTGTGCGGTTGCAGGCAGCCACTTCACTCATCGAGCTCCTCATCGTCCTGCAGAAAGGACACCGGAGGATTGGCAGTTTGTATATGAGGGCAGTGTGGGGCTATCATACACATAAGGGTGCTGGAGCCTTTCGGGTTAGAAAATTACAGGCTTGGTTCGAGATCACTCGGTCCTTCTTGGATTTCTTGGCCTTGGGGCACATTTTCTTGGCGGCCTTGGCGTCCTCTAAGAACATATTCCGGCGGTCATTCGCCAGCGTCACAGCAGCGATCATGGTCTCCGGGGCAATCGCTTGGCCCTGGGAGCAGTGCTGACTGTGCATGAGTTGAGGGACTGGGGCTGCTGTGTGGCCGGGCTACCCAAAACTATAGATACATCGAACAAAAATCCTGCCAGGGCCAGGTATAGCACCCGAAGCCCTATAAACCCTAAATCCTAAACTCCAAACCTATGTACATAAACCCTAGACCCCAATATCCTCTAGAAGACCGAAACCTTGCAAAAAACTCGGGCCTGTGCAATGTAGTCCTGCAGCTGCACGAAGCTAGTCTCGATCTCGTGCCCATGGTGGATCATGCTCTCTCCTAGGCTGCATGGAATTCTCATGTTTCCTAGCGATCTATAGAGTCCCATGCAACGCATGCGGTGCCACCCAGAAACGAAGCTTCTCAGCATACTTCACAGAGGACAAGCGAACTGGCCAAAGTTTGGCCTCGCCCAAAGAAGCAATCACCTTCGGAAGCAACCACTCGGCCGCCTTGTGAGCATCCGTCGGCATGACGTCCCTTAGTGCTTTTGCATATGCATGTGCACACACGAGGCCTGCGCACATGCATACGTGCCAACAAGGTTCACCTTGCGTGTCTTCACATAGCCACCGTTTACACCCTTCTGGCCATCCTTGCCTTTGTTTTTGCCGTAGCCTTTGCCGGTGCCTTTCTCGGGGAGTGCCGGCGCCGCATGTGCAGCCACATTGCTGCCACCAGGCGGCAATCCCAAGCAGCCCGCGTCCCCCGTACCTGACCCTGAGCCCGCAGCAGAAGGCAGCGCGGGCAGATCGCTATTCGAGGTTGAAAGCATGTGCTGCAGCAGCCCATTGTTCAGCATGGAGGAGGCAGCCTGCAAGTCGCGGGGCATTACGATACGTCACGTGCACTACATGAGCATGACGCACGACGAGAAAAATATAGTTCACCGCCTCCCCTTCAGCTTCACCGTCGAAGGTGATTGCCAATCTTTCCGAACTGATGCTGTCATCAGTCTTGGAAAGATCACTCAGCACCTACTAGGGCATGGGGCTGCGTGGCACTGTCGAACAACTGCATGGCCCAGGCATGCATGCAGAAAACTCCTTGCGTGTATGCCTGGTCAAGCGTCGCTTCGGGGCTGTCAGGAAGTTCTGGATGTGGTTTGTAGGCCCCCTCTTGGATCTTGCGCTGGATGATGGCTTCTACGATTGCTTCCTGATCGTTGTAGAGCTTCATGAGCTGCCCACGAGTCAGCCACGATCTCTTGGTGCGACTTCTGGCTCGATCTTCTTTCTCTCTGGTGTGCGTGATCGTCATCCTTACATGATATAGTGTTTAGGGTATAGGGTTTATATAGGTTTAGGGCTTAGGAGGGTTTAGGGCTTAACATCGTTTGACGCTAATGCATTGAACGCGTGCAAGTCTCGACATCCACTCCTTCCCAGCGTCGAGCCACTTGAGAAAGAGGGCGGTTTTGGCCCCTTTGCAGTTTCCAGCCACTGCTTTCGACCAAAGCGAGGCAATGTCCGCTGGGATATTGTTTGCAATCGGATTTTTCAATTGCCTGTATCTCCATGCTAAAACTTAAAAACCCTAAGCCTCTAAACCCCTAAACCCCTAAACCCCTGAACCCCCCTAAACCCCTAACCCCTACCCCCCCCCCCCCCCCCCCCCACCCAAAAAAAAAAGACGTAAAGGCGCAGCACCATACTTCCGAAGCAAAACCCCCCCCCCCCCCCCCCCCGCCTCTTGAACTTGGCGAAGTGCATCTCACGCTCCGCGTAGGATTCTGGAACCACAGCAACCTGCAGCGAGGACATGGCGGGTTTAGGGGGAGGAAGCTGTTCATCGCTATAAGCGGGAGGTTGAATTCAGCGTTGAGGGTTTGGGGTTTAGGGTTAAGGTTTTATGTCCGGGCGGTGCTTCTATACATGGCCAGCTTGCATATAAGAAAGACAGTTTGAGGGTTACAGGAGCTATAGGCTGCAATTCCAAGACAAAATCCTACTCAACCCCGCCCACTACACGGACTAGAGGTGCTGCATGGGGAGTGACGGTCGAACCATAGGGACAAAGTCTGCAGGGTTTATCCTCTCAAGTTGATGCCATCCCGGCCTTTATATAGGGAAAATACCCCTAAACCCTAAACCCTAAACCCTACACCCTACACCCTAAACCCTAAACCCTAAACCCTAAACCCTAAACCCTAAACCTCGGTGTGCGTGCAGTGCGGGTGGCGAAACCCTAAACTGGAGTGATCCCAGAGGGGCTCTGCTAGGCGGGTGGCAGAAAAAACCCTAAACCCTAAATCCCTAAACCCTTGCATACTGATCGAGACGGAGATATATATTCATGGCTCGAGAGGTGTACGTTTCTGATTGGCGGTTAATGCATCACAGTAGCAGCGTTCGCTGAGACGGTCAAAGAGTCGATCTCCTCAAGCAAAGCAGCTTTCTGGTCCTGAAGTTCGGCTGAGTCAGGTCTCTTTAGAATGCCCCGACGTGCTGGGGGCGCTTTGCTTGCTGCTTGGGGCGCTTGGTTTCCTGCTGCCGTATTGCTTGCTGGGGCCGCATTGCTTGCTGGGGCCGCGTTGCTTGCTGGGGGCGCTTTGCTTGCTGGGGGCGCTTTGCTTGCTGGGGGCGCTTTGCTTGCTGGGGGCGCTTTGCTTGCTGCGGGCACTTCGTTTGCTGGGGACGCTTCGCTTGCTGCGGCGGCGGGCCCCTTAGCGGCAGTGCTTGCTTGGCCTGCAGCGTGAGTTGCTGAGTCAGGGATGGCAAGGGTCAGGTCGATCAGAGCCACGGCCGTGACAGGATCTGGAAGTGATCTGGGCATGGGACTCGCAGACTTGGGGGGCACGGCCAGCTCCAATGCTGCAGCTGGCGCAGCTGCCTTTTCCGGGATGACAGCCACGGCAGAGATAGCTGCCACAGAGCTGGGCTTGATCTTAGGCCGGGGTGCTGGGGGCGAAGCAGGAGGGGACTGCTGCACGTTAGCCC